GTACGACTTGGAGAAAACCCAAATGAGACTTCGAGCGGACGGCTACCCCCCTGCCATAGCGAGGAAGATGGCCCGTGAAGCGGTTGATGAAAAGGCGTTGGAGTTTCTGGAGAAGGGTTTCTTTGACCATCTTGTTGCCAGTTAGTAGACACATTGCTAACTGTTTTTACTCGCAGATCCAGACCAGTATACCATCGTCCCTGCGCCCCTTAAAATCCTCAAAGTCCTCATCGTTGAACTGACCTCGGCTTCCGGCGCTTCCCGCCAACTCGACGCGGCTGCTGCCGCAGACCTTGCGGACGAGGGATCGGATGACGATGACTGGGAGGACGAGCCCAATCCGTTCCAGGACCTGTCCACGGGCATGTCTAAGGAACAGCTCATGTCCTTGGTCGCTGAGGATGGACCTGGGTTCAATTCCAGACAGCGGGATGACGAGACGCAGGCTTTCCTTGTGGAGTGGTTTGGCCGTGCAGCTCAGACGCCTGGCTTTGCGGAGGAGTTCAACGCGTTGACGGAGGAGGAGAAGGAGAGGTTGAGGACGATGTCCTGAATAAGTTTAGGAAGTGGCGTTTATATTTGAGCGTGTGAGTGCAATGAGGGGCCTGATCTGATAGGGGTGATTGGATTGGATTGACTGATGTCTGTCTGACTGCTAAGCTGAAATTATCTGGAATGAGCTGAAAAGGTATTGGGGTGTTAGGGGGTGGTTTTTGTCAATACTTCTGCAATGCCGCCCATTAGGATAGAAAGGTAGGCTGGGCACTTTTACTCTTTTCAATGGATGATATTTGAAGCAAAAGGCCGAGCATAAGGGGATGGTCTAAGCGTTCCGCATGGATATATTTAGATTAGTATTGTATATATTTGACATTGAAAGCCCCCCTCGAAGTCCCCATCGTATTTTTGAATGAGCTTTTGTAGCGTCTACGGAATATATGGTTCGTTTTTACCAGGTCTGAATTTTTGGAAGATTGAAACTGGACGAGCTCGAAGTACAGTCTCTTAGGAAGAATCGCAGTTATTATTTAGATTAGTGATGCCCATGTCTTGCATTGACTATGCCGCTATTTCTATACATTTATTCTGGACAGGAATTTGAGGATTCTCAGGTTACGATGGGGTTGATTATGTAAACATATTATGAAGGAAACAGTGACCTTATTTCGGAAAACTACCCTTCGCTTCCTTTCAGGTGGTGAAGGTATGGGTCGGCGTAGCAGGAGAAGTAAATAAGAGAGAAAGCGAGAAGTGAATAGAACGGTCTAATGGATAGAACAGAATGGGTAACGGTAAAGGGAAGGAAGGAAAACAAGGTTGTGGGACGGCCAATAAACATTTCAAAAGCAGCTAAACAACCAAGCCAGTCCAGGTTGTTCCCCTCTCAACCGAACAGCTCAATTTACCGGGAGGAAGCAACCCTACTATTCACTTGATGAGGAAATTAATGACATCCAATACAACTGCGAAATGCGGACAATAAGAGGCTTAGACTGTTTCTAGACAGCATAGACCTAAGGAATACTCGGTTATTTCATTCCAGAAACCGATGACAATAAGGAAACCCCCAGCTCACGTACTACCCAAAGGGCTACTGTCGCAGTAGAGATATAAACCATAGCTTAAAAGGTAGTTTTTCTAATATACGCCACAATCCCTCTCACGGAGTGAAAAGTGGTGGGAGCCACTGATAATGTAGAATGGCTCCAAATCCAGACAGAGGGAGAGACACTTAATATCATTAATGTGTATAATCTACCGGACCTGCAGATCAGCCTCGAATACCACAGTGACTACAGTTAAAGCCGATTCTTGAGGCGACCGCCTCTAACCAAAAACTAGTAATGGGGGCCTTTAATGCCTACCACCAGAATAGACGGTTACAAAAACAACTCAAGAGTCAAAAGCAGATCACCATCTCATCCGAAGGGTGGGAATGGGCTTCCAGCTTCTAAACTAACCAGGGCAACCACCTAGAGCAGAGGGGAATAAGAAGCGGTTTTAGACCTCGGATTCGTCTCCCCAAGTCTCGCACCTTGGATTAGCATTTAACCCAAGAGGAGACTGGGCATCCACCTAGGACTACTTCTCCATTGAGACTGAGATTAATATGAGAACACCCCCTACGCAGGGGTAAGAAATTCGCGCTCAAGAAAGCAGACTGGAAAGCAATTACGAACTCTACTCAATCATCAAGGCGGATGGATCCAGATCCTCCCATTGCGCTTATAGACCTCCAAAGGGTGACAAAGAAGTGTTCGAGAGATACTTTCCTAGAGCTAGACTATGCGATCGACCTCGACCGTAATGGTCACCTCGAGCGACGGAACTATTAGCAGAAGCTAGACGGGCATGGACACGAGTCCAGAGAACAAGAGACGGAGAAGATCCAGCAGAATGGAAGTGTCTCCGGGATCAATTACACCAAGAGCTCCGGTGAGATAATAGAACAGGATGGGGAAAGTTTATTGAAGAATGGACAGAGGATCCCGATAATCCCAAACATCTGCACAATGGGGGTTTTATTGAAGCTCTCCAAATGGAATAGGAGATTCCCAAAGGCCTAGATTGGTCCTACAGTCATTCCTCCCCTTCGGCAAACGGGAAGACGACCCTTTCAAAACAGCCAATGAGAATAAGGCAGATGTTCTTAGTACTAAGTTCTTCCATAAAAGTGGCCAGGCAGATCTCCCGGGTATTAATATAACCTAGATTCTCTCCCGGTTTGAATATCACCGTAATGGAAGACGAATTTAGTGAAGTACTTTGCAATCCTCCAAACGGCAAGGCATCAGCCCCTGACGGAATCTCAAACGAAGGCTGGAAAACACTGCAAGGGACCATCTTGAGCGAACTGGGCGCAGACAATTGCTGGGATCTTGAGCGCCGGGGAGTCTCCGAACCCCTTAAAGTGTCTATCATAGTGATCCTATGGAGGAAAAAGAAGAAGGACTATTCACTCCCAGAGAGCTACCGTTCAATTGCGCTTGGAACTACAATCGCTAAGTCAACAGAAAAGATCATAGCCGATAAAACTATTAAGAAAGCAGAGACCAGATATCTTCTTTCATGGAGTTATATGGGAGCAGAGCATACGACAGCGTACCCCACGGGAGACAAGTATGGTTAGTGAAACGCAAAGGCTCTCTAGAATTTATTTTAAGAATATTACTCTCTTTTCTCACTAGACGGCAAACCCGTATTACCTTTGGAGACTTCAAATCACCTGGGACCACACAGTTGCAGAATATTGCTAGAGGCTTACAAAGGCACATAAAAGGGTGTACCGTGGGCAAAATGGTTTGAGGCCAGGTTTGCATCAGGAAGTACCAGCTTATTTATTTTACCAAACAACAGAAAGTAATTGAGAACTTGAAGTCTACAGTCCAAATCAAAGGTTAAGAAGCGGAGCTTGTCTCCTCACTCCAGATCTTAAGGGTATAGTTGGATCCATCCTTATTATAAAAGAAATATATCGAAAGAGCAGCAGCAAAAGGAGCCGCTGCTTTCAAGTTGATGGCTCATATATGCGCATCCACATGGGGTCCATCTGTACGGAAATCAACGTTGCTGTACTCAGAGGTGATAAGACCGATTAATCCATGGAGCATCAGTTTGAAGCGCGCAAGCAGATGGATCAGCAATTGCCCCTTCCAAGGTTAATCAGCTTAAAATACTCCAAACAATATGCCTATAAAAGTACTTGGAGCATACAAGAGAACCCCGACGACAGCGTTAGAGAAGGAGAGTGAAACACCGTCAATCGTCCGGTATTTGGAGTGATTGACAATGCAGCGAGCAGCAATTGCTACAGACTAGCTGGTTACCAGAGAAATCCAACCGCATATTAAGAATATCTGGATAGCAGCTAGGAGGCTCAAGGGGAACGCCGAAGGGGCCGCCTTATCCGCCGGATAGAAAAAAATTTCACCGAACCACATAAGATGACTGAAAAACAGAGGTTACAGAAAAAGCTGACCGTAGATCAAAATAAGGCAGAACATATCAATTAACCATCCAAGCGCGTAGCCATTGACAAGGAACTTACGGCCATATGGAAGGAGATGTGGATAAGTCAACTACTACATCTCTACAATGACCTTCCCAAACACGAAACGACGGCACTATTTCTGCTCCATATGGAAGTTCTTGGACTAAGTGACTGGTTGGCTAGGATTCGAGTCCCAGGAATCGATCTAGGATGCCCATATGGGACTGGACGGCAAACACTTCAATATATACTCAGCTTCCGTCCAGATCACACCTAACCTCGAGTGAACCTAGTGATACAGAAAATGAGATATCTGGATCTATCCTCGGTAGTAATGGTTAGAATAGAAAGTAATTAAGGGGTAGAATTAAGATATATAGTAGTACATAGATGTTAGAGAGTTAAATAACTGTAAAGAAAAAGAGTGGAGCAGCGAGAAATGCCAAAAAGGGGAATTGACTATTTCCGCAAATGTAGAGAATATAGTACATAGGGTAGAAGAGAATGCATTTACGGTTTGCTGAGGGGTCGGAGACGTGTAATCTGAAATAGGCATTTGCTTTTATATTATGACTTTCTCTTACTATAACGCTATATAATCGTTTAACCATTCAAAAAGCAGTACTCAGGAGGTGCAATACGTCTCTGCAAGTTCATTGTTCCTATTTTCTAGAAGTGACAAAACAGATAACTGGGGATTTCTTGAAGAGTATATAGTAAGAAACTTTCCACACCTTTCCAAGAAATAGCTTTACCACTTAAGCTTCGAGGTCACTTATGTCATAGCAGTCTCTGCTTACATCTTACCGGTTCACAATGGTTTCATCCTAACACGATAGGATGAGCTAGGAGAACAAATTCTCCACTAAGAAAAGAACCAAAAACCGCCAGCGTTTTCAAATATCTCTTTCTTCCTTCATCAGTGAGCTCCGATTATGTACTGCGTAAGCTTGTAAACTACCTATATAGTATTATTGCAAGACTTTTCGAAGCATCAACATCACAACAAGGTTGTATGGTGTAGCGGTAGCACATTGGATTCTGACCTCGCCTTCCTGCGTCCGAACATTCCAACGACCCCGGTTCGATCCCGGGTACGACCTCAACATTTAAGCGTTTTCTCTTTTTGCGTTTTGTTTCGAAGGTTTTGACCTTTTTTTGGTGATAAACCAGCCGGGACCCGCTTGGGGCTCACGTGAAACTTTTTACAACCCAATATAATAATAATTGGGGCATAAAAATAAAGTTCCCCAGTAACGAGACAGAAAAGACAAAAAGAACGATTTAACTGATTGCATCAGCCGGGAGTCGAACCCGAACCAATTGCTTGGAAGGCAATTATCCTACCGTTGGACCACTGAAGCTAGTGTTTTCTGATGGAAAGAATTGGAAATTTTAAACTTATATTTGAGAGTGGAGTTGGGTGGGGCGATACCGCAAAGGCCTCAAGTCTGGAACGTACGTTGGGCCAGTAGTGTGATGGTAGGACAGATAGGTGCATATGGTCAAGAGAAAAACCTAAAGAAAAGAATGGTGAAGCGGGAGAAAAGGGTGCAGAATTGAATAAGTTGTGGAGATGTGCGGTGTGAGAGAATAACAAAATGTAAACTCATCGCAGCCATCTTAGCACCGACATTCAAATAAAATAGACCAACCCTTCAATCTCACCATTCAGCTCTTCGCCCTTTGAAATGCACGAGGATTGGAGGTAAGGGCTATGGTACGATGGTAGCGGTCCCTAAGGCGTCACATGATCCGCACCTTTCACTGCACAACCACCCGGTCACAAAAAGCGAAGAACGAGCAAAAGAAAATATTATTCCGTTGCGGGGAATTGAACCCCGGCCTTGTCGGTGAGAGCGACAAATCCTAGCCACTAGACCACAACGGATTGCTTAATTGATATGTTATGATTGTTTTGTTACCATTATGTTGGAAAGTAACATAATTGTAGGAATTGGACGTTTTTCGTCATCTGGGGAACAAAGATGGAAAAGCCACATTCGGTGAGTCGTTGGGAAGTTTAGAATTTCGGGGAACAATAGCGCTGTTCAAATTTTATACATGTGGGTCGATTAGTCCCCGTTCGCTTACTGTAAGTTTTAAACTGTAAAACCATCTTTTTGTTTGTAAATGGCGTTACCGTATAGACGTACTCCCGTTAGCAGGAGATAGAGCTCATTATTTGCTTGGAACGAATATTGACGGCTGTTTGATCCAGATATGAAGTCAGTATTCCAAGTTGATTCACTGGAATCAGAATGCGGACTCATCATAATCAGGGGATTCATCGTCTTGAACGGGGATGATAAGGCACCTGAGACAAGGAAAGTATCCGGAGCGGATATTGACTCGCTTCCCTGTCTGATTCGCCGTATAGTCCTCCTTTTCTCCCATCAACTTACCTAGTTCCCATGTTTAAACTAGTGCACATATCTACGTACCCATCCTTCTCGTCGCATCAGCAATACTCCAGCGCTGCTGCCTGCAGCTTCTCTAATCCCATAGAGCGGTATGCCATACCGATCCTTTAATCGCGTCAGCGATGCAGCACAAGAGCTGATTTATTTGTATCACTGAGGCCTCCCCCGCGAGTACAAGTCGGTCATCTAAGCTCTAGGCAGCAGCAATAGTATGGCCGTAAGACGGGTGTTCTTCCCAGCGAGAAAGATGAAATGTGAGGCTGAAAGAAAGGGAGACGGGAATGGTAGGACGTGAGTGCAAAGCAATTGGAATGGGAAAGTATAGAGGAGGAGGACAGTGTGAGAACCAAGCTAAAGGCAGAGAGGAACAAGATGGGACAAGGGGGGCTGTTGGGTACGCAGATGTGAAAGGAAACCACGACTAATAATAGCAAAAAGCGAGAGCAATGAAGGAAATCGAAATCAAATATAAACGTGAAAAAGGAATATTGAAGCCTGCTCAAGAATAGAGAGGACAAGAATTAGGGGGGAAAAGGACATAAAGCTTACCTGAGTATTCTCTTATGGTATTTTTGCTGTGTGCGTGAGATTGATATCTTGAAGCGAAGGAATGACCACCAAGAATATGGGGATGATAAACCCACCTCTAATGGAAACACTATCTCGATGCAGCCGCCCATACTGTTGGTAGTGGTTCAGTCCGTGAATGAGTCACACGCGTGACTCCGTAGCTTAATATAAATCGACGGTACACGACCATTTGTGATTCTCCTTTGCCTCCTAACTCCATGACCGAGGAAATTTAAAGTCACTCGAAGACCCATGGATGTCACCTAAACAATTCGAGAATTGCGTTGCTAAAAAAACGTCCTGTTTACGCGCTGGAGGCGAAGCCAGGATAGACGTCCCGATAATCGGTCGATTAGCACCGTGTTATCTTTGTTGCGTGGCATTTCCCTCTTGCACGTAGTTCCCATTGGCTGTGGCAAGTGCTAACCAGCAGGTAACGCTGCGCACTTTCCAAGTAACGGGGGCTTGCTTCGTCCGGACGAAGGCGGTTTGCGCGGTCCTTTTAGCGGAGATATGGCCAGACCCTGAAGAACTAGCCATCCCGTACTCAAAGAAGAGGAAGAAATACGGAATTCCTGCTGACGTGAAATCGCCACCGGTACCTAGGAAGAAGCTCGTGCGCGTCCCAGAAGGGATAATTGTAACACGTGATAGGGAATGACTCACAAGCCGTGAACTACACCGCCACACCGCCACACCGCCACAGGATCGCTGAAGCTGACAGAAAGCCCACTAATGAACTCGCGCGTATTTTTGGGCACTGCAACAACGACGCAGCAAAGAGGTCGCAGGACGCAGCTAGCGGAGCATACAGACGACTCAGCCAACAGAGGCTTTCAGCCCTTGTTGTTGCCCTGGCAAACGTGGTCTCCCGGAAAGTCCATTTGGATGCAAAGCAGCCCTTAGGGCTGTCGATACCGCGCACACCCCGAAACGGGACTGCGTCACTGCCCCTCTCTTTGTGTCTATCCAAATGAAAAACCAATGAGCGACAGGACCGATAGTGGAGTAGACAGAGACAGAAGGAAGGTGAAAAGATCGCATGAGAAGGAATATGCAGGATGAGTTGTTGTTCATGCTGCGGACTTGAAAGTCTGACTCTTTAAAGCGTCTGGTGTTGCGCGGACTCGGGAGCATTTTGCAATCAGCAACCACAGAGGAGCTCAAGCATTTCTAGCCAATAATCGAAGAAGAAACGACGAGAAGAATTCAAAATCATTGTGGGTGCCAAGATTTGCCAGAGAGATTACAGGAAAGCAGGATTATGGAAGAAACAACAGAAAAACGTGAGCCCAAGCACGATAGATTTTCAAGGGGTTCGATGGGCTTTCATGCAGAAGGCGGGTTGTGGCGTTCCGTGTTTAGCCAGTCAAACGTTTCCAGTCGGTTGGCTATTTCCTGCTCAAGGATGCAGCCTGACAGCATCCAGCGAGCAGAAAGATTGTACCCTTGCTATGGCGTGCGCTCTGCTGCGCTGTTCGCCTCGAGATGTCGAATCATGGTGGAGCGCATGCACGACTAGACGCAGTAAAGGACCACCGTCACCCTACAAAGGCCCTTTTTGTCATGTCAACGACTTCCAAACTGCAGAGTTGCGGTAAACAAAGTGAACAACGGCACGACAATGCGTTCGCAGTAGAACCTTGACAGATTATGAGACAAATATTGAACGAAAAATTTTCACTCTCGTGCGCGGAGATTGAATGGGCGGCCCTTACGAGGTCTTTCGGAGAGGAAGAACAAAAACAGAGTGCGGCTCAGTTTATCGCTTGAAGTTTCCAGGGCTCTCCTAGATTCGTCTGTGCAAACATGAGCACCGTTAGGTGGTAGGAGCGCCTTCTCATATCCCAGTGTTTCGGATGGGGACACTCCCAAAGTCTTCCCGTCTTCCGCGCCGACGGTCGCTTCTTGGTGCGATGGTCGCGAAATCTGGAGTAGTGTGGAGTATGGAGCTGAAGATAAATGTTGAGAGCTGAATTTGTTGCCCCTCTACACATTTTGTGCCTCTGCTATTTTGACTGTACGGATAGACTTTTTCGATACACAGAGCACTTATGGTACAGTACTCCGTGCGTATGTATTTCCCATGTGGTCGCGGCGCAATAAGCAGGGACCAGAAAGCGAGCCCTCTCAGCGGTGGGCCGTCTGTTGCATTATCGAACTGGCCATGGGCAATCTCTTGGAACATGGCAGACTGCAGCCCAACCGGCAGCACTCAGATTTTCTTCTGGGAGTTGAGAGCGGATCACTGCGAAGGGAGAGAGAAAAAGCACCGCCCCCCCTTCCCCCCCCCAACCTTTTCAACCCAGAGTCGTTGGCGATGCAATGTACCCATATCATAGTGGAGTTCTATGAAGTGGCAGAGCAAAAGGGGACTATTATTGGACGTACAGAGGTAGCTGCTGACAATCGAGCGGGACTCAGATGTATCGCTTACATTCCACATTTTGCATGTGTGAGTGAGGAGGGTGGATGGATTATAGGATGAAGGGCCCGCCGGGGCTGTGGGATATAAAAAAAAGGCGAGTGTGTGGTATGCTTCCAATATTACACCGTACCAAACGGAACAAGATAGATGACAGAAAGGGGAGGACGAGCTTCCAGGCAACAGTCCATCGAATAAAAATAATATTCTCACTGTGATGTCCTCCATTCCTGCTGGTCGGGAGAGAAAGAAGAGTCACCGAGGAGGACTGCGAATAGGGCTGCTGCACTCGGTCTGCGAGCGCTGACTGCACCAGGGAAAAGAAGCCGGTGGGACCATTTAGGAGGTGGTGGAGAGGAGTGACGGTTAGTCTGATCCGTAGATTGGGTATACGATCGGGGGTCAGGGGCGGTGGGACGGTAGACGCGAGTCGATGAAAGGGTAGCCCGTGATGGCGACTCTTGTGGTGAGGAGGCACGGTGGACACGGGAGGGATGAGGGGTGTGGCTTGTAATTATGAGTGATCCGTGCATGGGGAGCCCCGAAGTACTTGTATGGCCGACGCCCCCAGTTCCCGCGAAGCCCTTCGCTCCAGAGTCTCGACACCCACAAACCCCCCCTCCCCCCCCTCCAATTCAAAGCAATACCTGCAAGACGTTCACGTCTTCAACATAGTAACACCAGG